CAACGACATTCGGAGAGGACTGTTGAAATGAGCCGCTCACAATGACATGAATGAGCTGCTCGTTGCATTATTTTTTCCCTGGAGAGTAACTCTCGCAAATCAGAGACCCGAGGTCAATTCTTCATCGGGGATGAAACCTCCTGTCCTTGGATGGGCGGAATTGGTTCTTGTTGAACTTGACGGACCCTATCGCATTCGGGAATCGAGGTGCGAGGGTTGCGTTTTGATTTATAAACACTTGGCCTTGGCCTGCGTTTAGTTGACGGAACAGACCCATTAGGGTCTTGTTTTGTTTGGACGCACTCATGAGGTGCTTGTTTTCCCTTAACAGGGCTGTGCTTTGATTGGACAACGCACCACTGAGGGTCGCGTTTAAGTTGAATCACCCGAGGTTTGTAATTGGATTCATTACCTCGAAGTGTGCGTTCTGGAGTATGGACGCAATGCTTGTGCAGATCTTCGGAGACGCAATCCTTGCGTTGGACTCGGGATTGATTTTCTCGGAGGTGTGCTCGTCGGATGGACCTTCTTCGTCGTCGAGCAGCGTTTTCAAAGCCTTAACAGCAGCGTCATCGGCGTTGATTGTGCCTTCCTCTGTCATAGGCCTTTTACAACCAAGTACACGATGTGTCGACATAGGCGTGGGCTCCTCGGCTTGTAGAGCAAGCTTGAGGCTTTGGCCAAAGGAGAGGGCTTTCTTTGGCGTCTCAACAGTAATTAAGACCTCTTTAGAGCTCTTGCAGGCACCTCGCCTAGCTTTAGGGCTAAGCGATCCGAAAGAGAGGGCCTCTTCATATTTCACTTGGTCAAACTCTACGACCAAGGTTTCTACGGTTGTTCCAGTGAGGTGAACGTCGGATTGCGCCACCACTTCTTCGTCAGAGAAGCTCGTCCCCAGCAGAGTCGCCATCTTTTGTTTGTGGAAAAATTTGCAGTAAAAGAAATAAAAGAAAAATTGATTTGTATTCCTTTAATCTCAGTTACAATTGAATTCCGATTACAAAAGAGAGGAGAATGAATTTGATTCTCCCCTTTGTTTAAAACTGGGTTCTTCTTGGTAGCGGTGGAGTGCCTCCTTCGATTGATTGTGTCGAACTTGCTCTCCGTTGACGATCCGACCGTCTATACTCACTGGAACAACTGTCTTGTCTGGTTGATAACTCTTGACGAGTTTTGTGATTCAGAACAAGTAACAAACTCTAATGATAGAGTTGTTGGAACCGAAAATAATTCGGTTAATAAGCCAAATGCCGACTGCTTAGAGTTCCTCCGTCTGTTGATTTCCCAGACTGTGTAAGGAGTCAATCCTCCTTTTTCTGATTCTGGAAGATCTGATCGAAAGGTCTTCCCACGAAAATCCCCCCTTTGATCTGATTATCAAAAAATCCGATCTCAGCAATCCAAAAAAAGATCCCCCAACTCTATTAAGTTTGTTGATATTTATAGGGGGATAGGGGTGTAACTGCCCCCATAATCCGCACCTAAGTAGGGGTTTAGTTACCCCATTAGTCGGGTGTAACAACCCACTAAAGCCACTCCTCAAATCGTGGGTGAAGAACAGCTTCGAAGTTGTTACGATCGCGTTTGAATGAGTCAGAACCTTGACCTGCGTTCTGGCGGTGATTGAGCTGCGTTTGGCAGTGATGGATGAGCTGCGTTGGCAACGGTTGATAAGCTGCGTTGGGCAGCGATGGTTGATAAGCTGCGTTCGAGCTGTTCTTGGCAGCGATTGGAGCTGCGTTCGAGCTGTGCTTGGCAGCGATTGGAGCTGCGTTCGAGCTGTTGATTGGTGTAGTATTTAGATTTCTCTATCTTTATATATGGATGACACCAAAGACCAGTAAAGAAGGTCTTATTCAGGCCATTTGTGACAATTGAGGCATCTCAATAACGCTCTATCAACTGCAGGTCATGATCTCCACTGAGTGTGTCGAATATCATTACACTGCTCATCAGCACCTCTAATGGTTGCTAATATAATATTAGTCATGTTGTTGTCGCAGCCATCAAGATCAATCATCTCACATAAGAAGCTGCATTCGTGTTTATAGCTGTTGAAGCGGCGTAGGTGATTGAATCGGTGTAGTGTCTTGATGATGATACGCGGGGAGGACTTCCACGTCTTGGTTTGAAGAGATCGTCGATTTGTAATCCTTTCTGTCAGAGTATTGCTAAAGACTGTCGTTTTGTAATCTTTACTTTAACTCTTTGACATGTGAAAATCTTCGAATTGTAGCATTCTGGAAGTCGTCAGATTGTAACTTCCATCATCAGTGTTCGATGGAGACTCAGCTATCCATTGTGATTTTTAGACAGCCTACACTCGTGATCTATTTTCTGTGGTATTTGCTCTTTCTCTTTGGTTCAAGCATAGGTTTTTTTTTAAATGTTTCCCACATTGTCAGGTGATCAATTTGCCGGAGGAGATGTAATCGGGTGATTCAGTGACACTTCCGCACTGATTGCCAGTTGACTATCAGTTGCGGTAGGCGTGCGTCAACACGATCGCCCACAAAATTGAACATAATTCAGCCAGCGTAACAGATATTAGTCGTTCAAACCCATCGTACATTATCAGGTTTCACCGGCAACCAAACAGGAAATGCTCAAGCAGCGAAACAAAGCAGTGCAACCTCTTAAATGATGTTTGAGACAATTCATTGCCGCAATATCACGAGTAGATCAATCATTTTTTCTGCAATAAACTGCTTTTCCAGTCTTTACAATTATTAAGAAACACCAACATGAGACCCATATCTGTAGTAAAACCATAACTTCAAAAAAAAAAAAAAAAGTACCGACGTTCGATTAAAACTTTCAGAGTATACTTCTGATTAAGTTTGTATCTACTTCATGGAAAAAGTTTCATATAGAACAGGGATAAGAGCAACTATTTTCAGTCCCAAGTTACTACAGTCACATAAACTGCGGTGAAAGTGAAGAAGTTCCGGCATACACGTTTTACACCACCAAATAATACAACATTAGCAGCGAGAATCAAAATCCCAGTGTAAACATTATAGATTTAACAAGTTTTCCAGGTGAGGACTCAATAGTCTCGAACCGACCCTGAAATAATCATTGGAGCTGAAAATTGCTACAGACAAGTCAATTGAGGTTAACAGTAAAAATAGATACAATATTAACTAAGACCAGGAAACATATTATACAACAGAATTCAAAAATCAGCATGCAATAGAGTCGGCATTTCCATAGGCCTTCTGTCAACTGCTCTTCCTTTGCTGCAAGAAGTCTTAGATATTGTGCGTGTAGTATAACTTTACAGGCAAAGCCAGAAAATTCAATCACTGTTGATCATAAACCTAAGAATTCAATGTGGGATACTTCTTTCTTCACAAAAAATATGGGACGCCTGTTCTGGGTCCCCTCATTTGATTGTTCTCCTCAGTCTCCGTGAAAAACTTTACCTCCCTCTCCTGTTATTATTAATATGGAAAATTTGTCAAAAAGAAGATATTAATATCCTTAATAAAGAGGGATCAGTTCCATCAAGCTGTCTCAAAACTTTTGTCAGATAAAAACTCATTTACCCCGAAACATGAGAGTGGTGGACTGGTCAGGTCTATCTTGAGAAAGGAAATGCCAAGATTATAGTCTTACCATTTTCTCATTGAAACTCAAAATAGAAGCAACATTCCCACAACGGTAACAGTAATTTGGAGCAGACCACACCTGCAGATCCGCAGAAAACATGTTCTAGGATTTCACAAGACTAAAGGCAAACCAGCCAAATCTAAAAGTAGAGAAACAAGTTGGTAGCATCACACAACAAAAAAAATATGGAACAAGAGAGAACATAAAATGTTCAACTTTATAATGAATATACTACATAGCCATCAAGGTACACTCACAGTCACAAGGCCTTTGTCTTGGAACATATACTTGAGACCTTCTTGGACAAGCTGGTGCGCCCGGCAAACAAGGTCTAGATTGTTTATGTGATTGAACTGCAGCAGCCAAAGAAAAGCAGTGGTGTGATACCCCAATAATTAGTCCCACATGGGGTATACAAAAGAATATGAATCGCTGAACAAGCTAAGTCATAGGACTCAAGTGCAACACTGGCCAGCCATTGTTGGTGGTGGATTGAGCCCATACGTGTTGCACTCAGTAGATGCCAGGGCTTACACCCTGCTAATGAGATTGCGAGCCCATGCCATGACAAGTGATAACTTACAACAGGGTTGGATTAGCGACCAGATAAAATGATAGCATACCTCCGATGTCACCCTTGATCCAAATAGCCAGCCTGCACCGCGTGGACTAACAGCCCACGTCTCTATCTCTTCAGGGTCACTCCACATGAGATCACAAAAGGGGCCCTCATGAGGAATTTCACAATTCCGATCAATAACTCTAATCTGCCATGAGTGTAAAGAAGTAAAACTGAATAGAGTTGCATGACATTATGGTTATCAACCAGCCATAACTCAGATGAGTAAAATCAACGTTCTATCTTGATCAAACAACATGGAAGGCCTCTAACCAGTCAACTGGACACTAAAAAGGAGTTTGTGTTTCTGCATTATTTATGAATCAATCATCAGTGTTATTCCATGCCACAGTCTAATAAAACCATGATGTATATACGGCAGATGTCATGTCCAAACTTATAGGCATGTATATACAGCAGAACCAAGAAGGTGCATTGTTTGAAGGGGGAACAAACAAGTTCATGAAAATGATACCAGCAAGTGCACGCCATCAACCAGCCTTGAGTAATGTAAACAAGTTCTAATAACTAAAGGGTTCAAGCAATCGATACAAAGAAAATTACTTGAAAGCTGAACAGGGTCATACCTGATCAATTGTTCTTATATCAGGAGAAAGGCCACCATGAACACAAAGAACCTGCAATTCCAGAAGGAATTACTATTAGCCTAGCAATAATCAAAAGAAACATAAGCACAGCTAACAGTAAATGAGAAGCAAAAGTGACATTTGTGCATTGGTTTTGGCATGTAATAGAAAATGGTTTCCCAACTGAGAAGTGTTAC